GTAGATTCCACTGCTGCAGTCTAGAGCCCAACAGCTCTGCCTTACTCTGGGGTAGTTCCAAAACCTTGACAAGGTCTTTCAGTTCACCTTGTGTTATGAAGTGTGGTTCAGAGTAGGAGGGTGGGAGAAAATCTGGGTCATGTGACCTTGATGGTTCAGGACCAGAAGTTTCATCCTCTTCCTCGTCTGACTCAAGTGAGAATGATTCTGGTGCATCAGGAACCGGCAGTCCTTCTCCGTGGGGTACTGGGCGTATAGCTGATCGAATGTTTGGATAATGCATAGTCCATTTTTTCTTCTTTGACACACCTTTCGCAACTGGAGGCGCCATGCAGAAGTAACAATTGCTGATATGATCTGTTGGCTCTCTCCAAATAATTGGCACTTCAAAAGGCATAGCTTTCCTTTTTGCTCTTCAACCGCTGGCGAAGATTTGTTGCACAAGTGTTGAAGCATATGTGTGGGGCCTACATCTTGTCCTGATCTCCCCAATTTTGCAGTCAAAATAAAGGTGATAGGCTTTCTTAACCATAGTGGTTATACTGTGCTTTTGTGAAACAAAAGTCACTTCGCCACAAAAACATAGCAGAAGTTACCTGCTTTGTTGACACAAGTATGAGGCATCTCTGCTCACTTTGGCTAAATAGAAATGTGTCCCTTTGCAAAATCAAACACTTACAAATAAGAGAGCACGACACTGTATTATTTCTAGAGCTGATATAGGGCAATTTGTTCAGCAGAGGGATGCAAGCCTAGTTATGATAGCATCATCTATGACTTCTTGGAATAACATGGTGCAATTCATATAATGTATGATGCAATACCAAGTTAAGATTGCAACATTCATTGTTTCACTTAAAAAGCAAGTACTGTCCAACCCAGTCATAGATGTATTCATAGATCCAGTCAAAGATGAATTTTAGTCATTTCTGGTTTAAATTGAGATCCCTTCCCTTTATAACTCACTAATCCTCCACTATCCCCAAGTCAAGGGTCGTATATATACTGACCCAGTAGCATATCTTGAAAACTAGACCCAATCAACTATTTTAAGCATCATTTTCATTCTCAGTGACCCAGAATCAGTAAGGTTGGTCTCCATTTATTTTGGAAGCATTTTGGCTGAAGACCAGTGAATAATCGGCCGAAAAAGCGTCCTGCTCAGGGATGTTTGTTTGATATGTTATTGGAATATGTTTTATTAGTATAAAGCAGAGGAGCTTGCCTGTGACCAAATCACCCAGAATGCTCCCGATCTCGTCACACTGCAGAACTTAGGTTTTGAGACTGGTTGGTACCTGGATGGGTGGCCACCATGCGCGGCAGGTTGTTATCGGCTGCGTCACAATTAGGTCGGCAGCAGAGGGCAGTGTAGCAACAGCTATTGTTGCTTTGTGCTTCTATTCTCGCTGCATTCACCAACCCACACTGACTAGTGTGGTGAAGTATGGACAAATCAAGTTTCTATTTTACAACATGGGGAGGCCCTCATCCAGCAGTGGATTAAAAAAGGGCTGTGCACGTACGAATACATAACTCATGTGCTTGACTGACTATAGAACTTGGGATACTCTTTGGTTCTTTCGGTAAAGTCACGTAGATAGAAAAATGGAACAAAATACAAATATTCTTAGTTTTTTCGGTAAAGTCACGTTGAAGGGAAACAACAAAATAATAAAATATATAAAACAATAAAAAATTCTCACGACGTTTCGACCATAACTCAAACGGTCGTCTTCAGGTGTGTTGGTTTGCATAAATTTATTTTTAAACGGCGCATTTATTTAAATTTATGCAAACCAACACACCTGAAGACGACCGTTTGAGTTATGGTCGAAACGTCGTGAGAATTTTTTTATATATTTTATTATTTTGTTGTTTCCCTTCAACGTGACTTTACCGAAAAAACTAAGAATATGAATTACTGCAGTCACGAAAGCTTTAAATCAAAATTTAAAATACAAATAATATATCACGACGTTTCGATCGCAACACAAGCGGTCGTCCTCGGGCGTGATATATTATTGTTATTTCTTTTTATTTTCTACCTACGTGACTTTACCGAAAAAACTAAAGAATATGGATTCCTGCAGTCATGAAAGCTTCAAATCAAGATTGTGATTTGGAGTTTGTCAGTTGGAATCTACAGTGAGGGAAAAAAGTATTTAATCCCCTGCTGATTTTGTACGTTTGCCCACTGACAACGAAATGATCAGTCTATAATTTTAAAGGTAGGTTTATTTGAACAGTGAGAGACAATAACAACAAAATCCAGAAAAACGCATGTCAAAAATGTTATAAATTGATTTGCATTTTAATGAGGGAAATAAGTATTTGACCCCTCTGCAAAACATGACTTGGTTCTTGGTGGCAAAACCCTTGTTGGCAATCACAGAGATCAGACGTTTCTTGTAGTTGGCCACCAGGTTTGCACACATCTCAGGAGGGATTATGTCCCACTCCTCTTTGCAGATCTTCTCCAAGTCATTAAGGTTTCGAGGCTGACGTTTGGCAACTCCAACCTTCAGCTCCCTCCACAGATTTTCTATGGGATTAAGGTCTGGAGACTGGCTAGGCCACTCCAGGACCTTAATGTGCTTCTTCTTGACCCACTCCTTTGTTGCCTTGGCCGTGTGTTTTGGGTCATTGCCATGCTGGAATACCCATCCACGACCCATTTTCAATGCCCTGGCTGAGGGAAGGAGGTTCTCACCCAAGATTTGACGGTACATGGCCCCGTCCATCGTCCCTTTGATGCGGTGAAGTTGTCCTGCCCCCTTAGTAGAAAAACACCCCCAAAGCATAATGTTTCCACCTCCATGTTTGACGGTGGGGATGGTGTTCTTGGGGTCATAGGCAGCATTCCTCCTCCTCCAAACACGGTGAGTTGAGTTGATGCCAAAGAGCTCCATTTTGGTCTCATCTGACCACAACACTTTCACCCAGTTGTCCTCTGAATCATTCAGATGTTCATTGGCAAACTTCAGACGGGCATGCATATGTGCTTTCTTGAGCAGGGGGACCTTGCGGGCGCTGCAGGATTTCAGTCCTTCACGGCGTAGTGTGTTACCAATTGTTTTCTTGGTGACTATGGTCCCATCTGCCTTGAGATCATTAACAAGATCCTCCAGTGTAGTTCTGGGCTGATTCCTCATCGTTCTTATGATCATTGCAACTCCACGAGGTGAGATCTTGCATGGAGCCCCAGGCCGAGGGAGATTGACAGTTCTTTTGTGTTTCTTCCATTTGCGAATAATCGCACCAACTGTTGTCACCTTATAGTAATAGGTTTTACCCTTTTAACTGGCACAAAAACTGACACCTTTCTTCAATGCATCATGTTTGCAATAACCACAACACAAGCAGTCAAAATGCAAACAAAAGAGACAACTCTGATAATAATATGCACTGTCCTTGAATTTGATTGGTCCACACCCGAGACGGCTTTTCTTAGAGCCTAGTCTCCACTGGTGTTGGACCAGAAGACGCCAAAAGGCATACAACTCAAAAACAGTGCACTATCAGAGTATTGCACTATCAGAGTATTATTAAGAGTGTGCTCCTAATCTCAGCTCGTTACCTGTTTAAAAGATACCTGGGAGCCAGAAATCTTTCTGATTGAGAGGGGGTCAAATATTTATTTCCCTCATTAAAATGCAAATCAATTTATAATATTTTTGACATGCGTTTTTCTGGATTTTTTTGTTGTTATTCTGTCTCTCACTGTTCAAAAAAACCTACCATTAAAATTATAGACTGATCATTTTTTTGTCAGTGGGCAAACGTACAAAATCAGCAGGGGATCAAATACTTTTTTCCCTCACTGTAAATTCAAGTGATGAATTGATATCTCGTTGTAAGCCTAGTGCGGCTATATTTACAGAGATCGGATCTTGGCATTTTAAAACCTGGAATTTATGGAGCATGCAGTGTATGACCACTGCCAGTAAAAGCAGAAGCATGTCTAAGCTTGTTGACCTTTCCATTGAACGTAACAAGATTTGCCGTATTTTCAGCATGGGCTGAAAATACTGTGTGTCATCGTATCTTGGCGTGATATCATTTCATGTTGTCAAAGTGTGAGAACTATTACCGAGTGATGGACATGAATGTCATGCGCTCTGAAGAACCAACTTGCGCGGAAGTAATTCATTGGTACACGTTTTGTCTGTAATGATAAACGGATTTTTTTCATCTGCTGCCAATTATATGCCAATTGTTATATCGGTATCAAATTAAAAAAATGCAAAATATTTTCATTGAGAATTATTACAGTAAAGCAATGCACGAGCTTGTGTAATCGTGCACAGGTTGATGAAACTTGATGTCACAGAACTGCTTCTGAATTTGCTGCCATTAGCCTCTTTTTGTTTAGTGCCCTGCAAAGAGTGTCAATCGTATGGCAACCAAAGCAGTTGTCTTCATCCTCAGCACTGGAATATGCTGAGTAAAGTGACAAAACAAATGCAATACGATATGGTTTTATTCACTTAGTCATTATTAGCCATCAACGTACTGCACCTGAGGATCTGTGTTTGTTTTCATCTCTTGGCTGACACCCGTTTATGATCCAAGGATCTAGGTCAGTGCTCTTCATTGCAAGGCCCGCAGGCCACTGGCGACCACTGGTGGCCTTTAAGTATGGGCCCCTAACATGCGGCACCTGACAATACAAAAATGTGAAAACACCCCCATCATCATGCTGTCCAACCCCAATGGTTTCAAATGTTTGGCAGCCTTCACACTGATGATGTCTTATCGATGAAGGTGCCCCACCCCTGTGAAAATTATGGTACCAGCGCCTTATGATGACAATGGTATCAGCCCTATGTCACTCGGCCACCACATTGATTTCGTACGAATAGATAGTCCATGCATATTTTGTATTGATTGGAATAGTGTTTGTTTTGTTTCAAATCTTTTTAAGTGATGCAAACGTCTTGGTAAAAATAAAGCTTCTCGACAACAGTGCTAATTTTATCCATGTATTTTTCACGAAGGTCTTACCACAGAGTTCTTCAGCAGAACAGAAATTGGGAACTTTTCAAGGAGTTTATCCAGACCCAAGCAACACCTGTCCAAGGTGAGCATGTGTCACACATGACAGTCAGTCCCATGCCCTCAGCAATACTTTTATTTTTAAACACACATACGATGTAACTGTCATTGACCAAACATTCCCAATGCTGAATAATTACCGGCAAATTACTCAAATTGGGATTAGACATGGCAACATTTAGCCGGGCGGTGGTGGTGGCGGCTACACACGTGGACTGTAATCCCGCACTGTGGCAGGCAAGGGATTGGTGGATCACCGCACAAACGTTGTGAAACTCCATTTCTGTCGGCGTGGAGGTGCCATAGCCCTGGCTCGCCAGGAGACGGCGGTACAGCAAGTGGACTGATCGCCATCTGTTTCCATCAGTACGGGGTTGGAGCGTGTTGTCCTCCCTTCACGTGCTACAGTTTCCTCCCACATGTGTGGACACTTGTTATGAATTGGCTGAAAATGAATCTCAATAAAAACCCAATGGAGCACGACCCTCCTGAAAAAGAGTCGTGTGACACATTGATTCTATCTCGGGTAAAGAGGCGTAAAAATAATGATCAGTTTAACATGTAGTGTTTCGCGACCAATATGTCATTCTGGAAAATCGCCTGATGAAGCTGGTTGTTGTAATCACCAGCGAAACGTTGTACTCAGATTGTAAATGTTGTGGGTTTACTCTCCCAACACACCGGTGTGCTGAAGTAGTAACTAATTGGCACATTTTATTTGTGTGACAAACCTTACAAAATTAAATTGGCCTTGTCAGGTGGGGATCTAGCCCTTAAAACTCTTTTTAAAAAACTTTATTATTTAACAATAACGATTATGATAATAATACATTTCGATTTAAAGCTTTCGTGATTGCAGGGATTCATCTTCTTGGTTCTTTCGGTAAAGTCACGTAGAAGGGAAATAATGAAAATAAAACATAATCAAATAAAATTCTCACGACGTTTCGGACACAACACAAGTAGCCGTCCTTAGGTGAAGAAACAGAACTGTCAGGAAGGCAGCGCTCCAATGAACACTGCTAAGCTTGGCAGCGTATTTTAAGCTGGGTGGGAGGAGCAGAGGGCGTTGACAAAGGAGTTTACATATCAACAGAAGAATTTAGCATTGTAGTAGCTGTGTTAATGTGAGATATTAGCAGGATGTTAAAGTCAGAAATTAGCATGTAACTGGGAGATTAGCATGATGTTACTTCTTCTAATGCAAAACGAATTCTATCTAGAACTAGTTTAGCTCTTATCTCAGAAAAAATCAGACTTACGTGCACCGAACTAGATCAGTTAGACAAGACACTCTACAAATCACACTTATCATTGATGGCAACAATGTCCACATCGGATTGGGAACATGTAGACAATATGACTGCCTTTTCAGCTGCCACTGTCGATCAAATGTAAGGACAACTTGATTTCTAAATTCAACCTCCTCTCCAACAAGAAATCGGACCCACACACCGAAAAGCTAGATGTTAACAAAGTCGTAATTAATCGCAGTAACAGTTATATTTCTGATGGCCTGAAATACGTTTTTGCTAAAGGGCTAAACTTTGCCGTCACACCTAGACACATACCAGTTAATGATATCATTGCCCATGTCGACGTGGCTCTCAAGGGCCTGGGTCACATCGCTGCAGATGTAGCAAGATCTGAAATTGCTGCAACCCTCAAAAACGCTAAGATGCCAGCTAGCAACATCAGCAAAGATGAGCGGTTTGAATTATCTTAATTAAGAAAGAGGGATGACATTGTCATCCTCTCAGCCGACAAGAGCAATGCCACTGTCATCATGGACAAAATAGAATATAACAACAAAATTCAGGAACTACTCAACGATGGCAGCTATACAAAAATAAGAAGAGACCCCACCAACAGCCTCGCCATTAAAACCAACAAAATCATTTCTGATTCAACCGCATTAATTGATCAAACCAAACAGTTCCCGTTGAAACCTTCTGCGGCCAGGCCACCAAGATTATATGGCTTTCCAACGATACATAAAGAAGATACACCCCTTCATCCCATTGTCTCTACTATCAACTCCCCCACCTACAAACTGGCTCATTTGTTGTCTGAAATCCTGCGGCCTTTTACTGGAAAAACCACCTCTGTGGTACTAAACTCTACTCACCTGGTATCAACAATCAAGGGTATTTCCCTGTCCCCAGACGACCTGCTTGTCAGTTTTGATGTTGTTTCCTTATTCAACAAAGTTCCTGTACCTGACACCATCGCAATCATTGAAGACTTGGTTCATCAAGGACTGCATACTGATGTACCCCCCTGATGAGACACTGCCTAACCTGGAATGGAACTTTCTATAGACAAACTGAGGGCGCCCCAATGGGCTCCCCCCTGTCTCCGGTTGTAGCCAACGTTTTCATGGAGAAATTTGAGACTGATGCCATCCAGACTGCCACTCTACGCCAGACCTTATGGAAGAGGTACGTGGATGACATTTTTGTCATCTGGCCACATGGCCGGCCTGCTCTAGACCAATTCATCGACCACATCAATTCCATACACCCAGCCATCAGATTTACCATGGAAGTCGAAAGAGATGGCAAGCTACCCTTTTTGGATGTCCTAATTAAAAGGAGACCTTATGGTTGAATGAGCCACTCTCTCTACAGGAAAGCTACCCATACGGATGCTTACTTAAAACCGGATTCCCACCACCATCCATCCCAGAAGAATTCATCAAGACTCTATACCATAGAGCCCAATGCATCTTCAACCAGGAACACATTGCCAGTGAACTCAAGCACGTACACCAAGCTCTCAAGGCTAATGGTTACTCCGACTACACAATCTGCAGAGCCATCACTCCAACTATGAAGAAGGATCCTCTTGAGGAACCATTCAAAACCATCACCTTACCCTACATTGCGGGGGTCACAAAAAGATCTCCAAAATCCTGAATAAACACAAGATCCAGTTCCGATTCAACACAGTACATAAAATCCATGATGAAACTTGACGTCACAGAACTGTCCTGTTTGTAAAAGATGTGGTTCCAGACATACAGTACCCGGGCGTATACAAACTAAGTTGCCTCTGTGGTAGCTGTTACATTGGAGAAACCAGATGACATGTATCGAACCGCATCCGTGAACATAAAGCAGACTTGAAACACGGTAGGATGAACACCTCAGCCGTGGCAGATGGGCTCATATGACATTGACTTCTCCAAGACGGAGGTTCTCTGCAAGGCATCTGGCTACCATGAGAGATTCGTTCATGAGGCCATCCACATATACAAACACAGAGACAATTTCAACCGAGAAGATAGATTCTGGCTTAGTAATCATTGGAAGGACGTGAAAAACCATTTCGGTTCTTGATTGATTGTATTTTACGGTGACTTTCAGACCACAGTCCATTCGCTGGCATTGCCTCTTAGTACCTTTCACACGACGGTCAATGGTATGGTTTATAGCATATTGTATAATAATACATAGTATAACAGTGTAATGTTTACTATAATTTATAAGGCAATATATAGTATGTTTAACACGTAGGCTTTCGCGACCAATATTTATAATAAAGGTTTTTGGGTTAGATCGCGTTTATTTATAAATGTGTCGTAACTAGTGAATTATTTGTCTTTTGTCAACGTGACACTTTTTTTGCTGATTGGCCGTGTCGGGTGGTGGAGGGTTACGACACATTTATAAATAAACGCGATCTAACCCAAAAACCTTTATTATGAATAATATATAGTATCTTAATTGTATAGTGAATACACAGCAGTGTGGTATACAGTAGGGTTGGTAGAATAATATATATTTTAATATTACAAGTCTAATATTATTATTATAGCCTAAAGTATAGGGTAATGTATAGTGAAGCATTGTATAATTCAATGGTGGGGTTTGTCTATGGCATTGTTTAGTACGGTGTATGGTCGTGTAATGTAAAAAAAGAGTAGTTGGAGGCATATCAATATAATGCATAATGTTAGAGCTTATATTGGGCTGTGTATACGATATTATACAGTGTAGTTTAGATTGGAAGGTATACTATTGTAATGTATTGTAGTCTAGTTTATAGCATAGTTGTAACGCAACACAGGACAGAGCAGCGCATCGTGGTTGTTTCTCTCCCTCTCCTCCCTCCTCCGTTCCGAGCATAGATGGACTCGTCCGCCTGAATAAAGCTCGTCGCTTTCCGTGGTGCTAACGTTGAGGGAAAAAAAACGCCACTTTTTTCGACGTAGAATTGTAATGTATCGTGACTTATTGTTAGTAGCTTAGCTGATTGGAGAGTATATTGAGTTTATTGATTATGTTGATGTAGTTTATATTTAGTTATTTCACATCGGTTTATTGTATGCTAGTTGGGTAGTTGCAGTTCTTTAGCGTTAATATAATAAATGCCTCTGTTGATATGTAAACTCTGACTAACATAGCCACTTCCGTGACCAGTTACATGCTAAATCCTCACATTAACATCAAGCTAATCTCCCAGTTACATGCTAATTTCTCACCTTAACATCCTGCTAATCTCTTAGTACCTTTCAGTGTAATGTTTAATATTATTTATTTGGTAATATATAGTATCGTAATTGTATAGTGAATATACAGCAGTGTGGTATACTCTAGGATTGGTAAAATAATACATAGTGTAATATTACAAGTCTAATATTATTATAATCTAAGGTATAGGGTAGTGTATAGTAACGTAGTGTATAATTCAATGTTGGGGTCTGTCTATGGCAGTTTATAATAAAAAGATTAGTTGGAGGCATATTATACTAATTTTTGCGACATAGAAGTATAATGCATAATGACTTATTGTTAGTAGCTCAGCTTAGTGGAGAATATATTGAGTACATTGATTATATTGATGTAGTTTATATTTAGTTTATTGTATGATAGTTGGGTAGTTGCAGTTCTTTAGCGTCAATATACTAAATGCCTCTGTTGTTCCGTGACCAGTTACATGCTAATTCCTCACACTAACATCATGCTAATCTCCTAGTTACATACTAATTTCTGACTTTAACATCCTGCTAATCTCTCACAGTAACACAGCTACTTCAATGCTAAATTTTTCTGTTGATATGTAAACTCCTTTGTCAAGGCGCTCTGCTCCTCCCACCCAGCTTAAAATACGCTGCCAAGCTTAGCAGTGTTCATTGGAGCGCTGTCTTCCCGACAGGTCTGTTTCTTTACCTGAGGACGGCTACTTGTGTTGTGGCCAAAACGTCGTGATAATTTTATTTTATTATGTTTTATTTTTATTATTTTATTATTTCCCTTCTACGTGACTTTACCGAAAGAACCAAGAAGACAATAATACATTTTAAAAAATTACAGCATTGTTAGTAAGGCTCGGCATTGCAGAGCTGTGCTGCGCACGCCGGTTAATGCGAGCTGTGCGTGGAACGACCAGGAATCGCCGGGTCGCGCGGAGACGCGGAGCACGGTGGAGGCGGTGCAGCGCGAGCGGCAGGAGCTGCTGCGTCGCGTGTGCGCCGACCCCGCGCTGCACAACCTCACGCACACCAACGTGTCCCACTTCGTCCTCAGCCGCATCTTCGTGTGCGACCACTACCGCATCCTCTTCTGCCAGACGCCCAAGGTTGGCAACACGCAGTGGAAGAAGGTCCTCCTGGTGGCGAACGGTGAGCGCTCCAGCCGAGCGGGAAAAGGTATCGTGCGTTGGCCGACACGAACTCAAATTTGAGTCAGTAATCCGGTAGAGGTTGGTTGGTTACCTTGGCTGCGACGGTTAGCACATTGGATTCGTGACCTCGCGGTGTGGCAGTTGAAAGGATAATCAAGTTTATGAAATCTCCCACCCACCCCCAACGCCAGCACAAATGGCATCCTCTCTTTCAAATAATGTGATGGTATTTTGAATTGTCCACTGTGAAGCAGACAGTAAATGGTTATGGTCAATAACCTGTGGTGTTAATCAGGGCAGCCGCTAGACTCTGATCACAGACCTCTGCAACAGCAGAAATATGCTACCATTCGACCACGTCACCGCTCCTTGAGAATCCGTTGCCATATTTGCCATTAGCATCAAGCGGCTGCGATGATACAGGCAGTCCTCGACTTAAGTCGGTTTGACTTACGCCCGCCCACACTCACGGCAGGGCGTCAATTGCCACACCCACGTTAGTACTCACTGCGGTCAGACCGCACCTATGGCACGACACCAACTCAGGCGCTAGTTCTGTGCACAAACAAACAGTACAGCACCCACACAGTCTGCCTCCCAGTGGGATACCACGTCGGCGAGATGGTAACTACCTTGCCTGGTATGCAGGAGGTCAAGGGTTTGATCCCAACCCCGATGCTTGTTTGTTTGGAATTTGCATGTCTCTCTCCCCGTGGTCACGTGGATTTTTCTCCGAGTCCGCCGGTTTTTTCCTTCACATTTAGAAACATGTGGTTTAGAGTATTTGGCTGCTATAAATTTCCACGTGATAAGCCACTTCGTTGAGCTATCATTTGTGGACAGGTCGATTCTGAAAAACAGCTCTGTAGCTCAGTGGGCCTTACCTAGTAAAATAAAAATTGTTTAGTTTTGATAGTTTTAGTTTAAAACTCTGTTCATTCTCAGTGATGTTTAAACGTGTTGGCATGGCACATGTGCAGCCAATAGCAGTGGGGTTAAGGTGTCTCTCGTTGTGGTAAAGCAAATGTGAGATATTTATGATTTTGTCGTTATTGGCGTTGAAGGACACTGTGACATGTGTGCGATGCAGGCCGCTACAACAGCACGAGCGACGTGCCTGAAGACATCGTGCACCAGCACGACAAGAACGGCCTGCCTCGCCTCTCCAGCCTCCCTCCTGGGGAAGTCTCCCTGAGGTAAGGCTATACAGAAACTCGCTGGTGAGCGAGGAGGGGGGGCAGCCACTGTGGATGTTGTGGAGATGTCTTAACACCTTCCCCGACATATGTAGACATAGCTCATACACAGAGCCGAATAAATAAGCCTACAGGCACAGGCGTACTTCCTGCTTCTCCACCCAAACTATGCTTTTCATCGTTGTTTGCTGGTAAACACCCTGTTGTGTATCAGTTTGTTACACAAAAAAATAGAGTTTTCAACCCTGTATTTCGGAATTTCGTCCTGAGTTTCTGCCTGGTAATGTTTAGTTTTATCAAGCTCTGCTAAGGGACAACCCACAACATTTTTGTACAAAAAACACAGGATTTTAGAGTCACGTTTTTTCTCCCTTCGCCACAGTTACACAAATGTTGATCATGTCGATGACGGAACCTTGAAATACAGCACACACGAGTGCATACATAGCCAACCGTGCTAATCTAACGTAGCGAACCGTGCACGAACAGCAGTAGGCTCGGTAGCTGAGACAGGAGCCGCATGGATTGAATACAACTAGAATGTTTGTGATGGAGTGGGGGGAGAACTTTGCGGACGCTCTCGGTGATCTACCCAATCACAGCTTGGAACCGATAGCTTGGAAGGACACCAACAACTTCCTGCGCCTGCCTGCACCCCCACCACCAAGGCGAACAATTAGCTCCCATAGTATTACCTCCTTATCCTTCCACGCCTTCCTCTTCTATATTTTCTATGCCTGGAGTTGCCACGTAATTAATCACTTCACATATGACCTTTGCAGTGTTGCAGAAGTCAGCAGAGTTTTCAGAAGTATTGACTTCAAATAGATTATCGTTTGTTTACCTACCGAGGAGAAGCATCTGGGGAAGATGGAATGCTGTGTAACTTGGTTATTCCTGTATTGAACGAATGTATTGGCAACTTTCTGAAATGTCGATATGGGGTACAATATAATCCCAGAGACATTGAGAAGTTGATATCACAATTTGAAGTCATAGCAATATTACTGCAAGATGCATTATTGCCCATTATGCGCGATACCACATGATGTCATGAATAATATTTGTTTAATCTCATGCTAATTCTATTATTCTTTTTCCTAATCACATCCCTGGCAGAGAGTGAACTATTTCCATTCCAAAACGATACAACCAACAGAGCCATATATCACAGAGTTGGCACATCCTGGAATTTGACGTCGTACGGCTTTTACTTGACAACCTTCACGGAACTTTCTCAAAACATTCCTCCAGGCTGGATGTGTGGTTTTTTTTCAGCAGCCCTGATGAATGAGCCATTCACCCGGAGCCGGCAGCCAAATGAAGCCGCAATATCTCGGCAGAAACAAATTGGGACATGCTGCTGTATGGCCTTGTTATGCAGCCATTGTTTGATGTCAAAATTAGCATCAACCCCTTGAGCCAAACTATCTATATACTGACATTACAAAATAAGTCATAAGGACTGTATAGAATGTTATACACAATTAAACACCCCCTGCTTGGATTTAAATGATGAGTACATTTGGTATTCGTGCTGTTCGTAGAGCGCAAAGCTGTCACAAAAGCGCTATATTTAACGGATTAATATATTCCGCTTTAGTTTTACAGCAGGGATGATGTTCCAACAAGGTTTGTACCCATTTGGGTAATTTGCGAGTAGTTTTCACAAACTGGCTGGTTACACGTGGCCTATCTCGATCGAATAACGTCCCTGGATCCTTAACGTTCACTGTAAAGTGGACCGTCGCATTTTTTTTTGTTAATACACCGCAGTATTGACCAGGGCGACCACTGCGATAAAACTACAAGCCTCTGCAATAAGTGGCAAACACCCCTCCCCCCCCCACCGCCTGGTCACGTCAGTGCCCCCAAGCGAGGCTGGAGCGAGCTTTAGTTGCAACTCTTGCCTTTCGCGAAAACTTTGGTCCCACGGACTGACACACGTGGATGCACCGTCCCATCCCCCGCAGGCTACGGACGTACTTCAAGTTCCTGATCGTGCGGGAACCGTTCGACCGCATCATCTCAGCCTTCAAGGACAAGTTCGTGAAGAACCCGCGGCAGGAGCCGTGGTACCGACAGAGGATAGCCCCGGCAATTGTGCGCCGCTACGGCTCGGGCCCCGCCCGCCGCCACGCCCTCCGCTTTGAGGACTTTGTGCGTTACCTGGGCGACGCGCAGGCCGAGCGATTGGACGCCGCCTTCGGCGAGCACATCATCCACTGGGTGACGTACGTGCGGCTGTGCGCGCCCTGCCAGATCGACTACGACGCCGTGGGGCATCACGAGACACTGGAGAGCGACGCGCCGTACGTCCTGCGGCGGGCCGGGGTCCCGGGCCACGCGGCCTACCCACCCATCCCGCCTGGTGTCACAGCGTTCAACCGTTCCAAGGTGCAGCACTATTTCCGCGGGATCAGCCCCACGTGGATCAGGCGACTCTACCGCCGCTACGAGGGAGATTTCCGGCTCTTCGGATACGAGGAGCCCTCGTTTCTCTGGATGTGAATGTTGGCGGTGGATAACGGCCGTGATCGAGCGGATAAGGGGCCCGCGGGGGTCCTAGGGAAATCGGTCCAAAATTACCAACGTTTTGTTTTCATTCTATTTTTGTACACATAATGAAATTAGATGCATTTTTGGAAAAGCGAAATTGGGTTATTTTTCATGAGTTTAGCATTGGATTATTAACAGTGTTCCAGACCCGTGCATTTATTTTTTAGTGGTATTACACAAAAAAAACGTCATCCATTGAGGGAAATCCATTTTTGTCTACACGCTCTGTGCGTACTTACATTTGACAGTCTATCCTGGAAATGTATGTTGATGCACAAAAAGTGGAAACCACTGTTCTCTTTAGACGTCCGAACCTTCATTGTCATACCAAGCTAAATGGTGCACATCTATCCACGTACCAATGTGTTTTCTCAATCTCTATGACCTGATCCCATACTGGAATGAGCCACTTGCAATATTTGATTTAACACCGTATGCTGCCACAACAAGCGGCAATGCTATGGATTTTTGCCTGGCATTTTAAACGTTGACGTTTTGTAACGCGGCCGTTGTTTTCTGAAACAAGCTGGGGTAATGAAGCAGGACCGTGATGCTGGCTGTGTGTATTTGACTGGCCTCACAAACGAAAGTGTTTGGTGCTCGCTTGGCATTTAAAACACACATGCGGTCTTTGTTAGTTTCTGTACTCGGGATGCACAGCTGCACTACTGGAAGTGGTATAGGTTTCTACCAACCAACCTCCCCTTGCTGATGTCTGTAGCCTGTTTCCGATTGGTGATAAGTTGGCAATTCACGCACCGTTAACCGCAAAAGGGACGCGTGAAGCCAAGAATCCAACTGAGTGTCACATTGCACGTGGCAGCACAGATTGATTTATGGACATTTGAGACAAATCCTCGAATAACCAATAATAGTGAGAAACCGCAAGTGGCACATAGAGACGCGACGGGGACTCGGCACAGCACTGCTGTTCTAACCCTGTTCACCGTCCCCAGTTTGTCGTTGTCAGAGTTGGCGACTTTTTATTGATCCTCAGCTCGTTAAGAGAGTGAGGTGTTTGAACAGTAAATTGCGCCGTTGGGCAGTATTGAATTCGGTGGCAATTCCCCAGTGGCAAAATCCTCTATTTTAGAATCACAACTGTAGGCTGCTTAAAGAGGCTAATGTACCATGGTTTAAAGATAAGTCCAAGAAAGGGCATTGCTTTCCACAGTGTACGGGACATTGAGGGCAGTGACCAGGGAACATGCAGAGATTATGTTCGGATGTGTTGGAATTAAGTTTGATTCCCATGTTTGGCTGTAACTTTACACATGGTACGTGGGCTATCGTGTCATCTTATGTATTATTATTTTGCACTTCATCCTGCAAATGGTGTTGTTGAATGAAACCAGATGACACTGTGCTGCAGTTAAGAGCGATTGGCTCGCATTCAAACGGTTTAGAGGTAAAATCCCGCATGGGGTGGCCTACTCAACCCATCAGTTTTATAGCACGAATAAAATACATACCACTCTATGGCTTGTGGCTTATCTGCCCGCAAGGTGATTGTCTTATTACCCTTAAAGTGTGGAATTTCCACCGCTGCCTCATAGCCACCAATGGAGGTGAGTGCTCCCCCCTGTGGTTAATCCAGCAGAAGAGGAGGGGGGCACGGGTGGGGGGGGGGGGGTTTCTGTAATTTGGTTGCTAACAATAATAACAAGCAGTCAACAGAACTAATGGCTTAAATTAATTAAGATGAGATTGTATGAATTAAGGTATTATATTTAGTGTTTGTATAATAATTTATCAACGCGCACAGGGATTTCGTTGATTACACCGTACTTGTCCACGGAGCTTGCCTGTCTGCGGAGGACGGGACCATTATGAGTCGTGTGGACTGCGTTTCTTAAGTCTCCCATCGGTCGTCGCATGCATGTGTGTATGTTGAATGTCTTTCGCACGGTACGTAGCCAACCGGGCACGCCTGTCGTTGCTGCCGTTTCAGTGGCGTCTGCGATCCGTTTACACCCGTTTTTTTAAACAGGGAATTCAATGGCGCCATCCGTTTGCCATGGGCTTGGTTGCTTTATGGCGGATGAATCGAGGCGCACATTTCGTAACATTGCAAGAAGGAGGCGTTTAGATTTGCACCTTAAGAGGGCAGCACCAAGACGTGCTGGTTATACTCCATAATTTAAGGAATGGTGTTGCTCAACTTAACTCTGGCTACTGGTTGATGAGCACAGTCAGGACCGTGTGGCTTTAGTTTTTCTTAAAGGTGCCATGGGGTGAAGTGCACTGCTATCGAGTTTAAATGTGCAGGTTGGCGTGTGGAGCAGACTGGGACGCGCAGCGTGGAGCAAAAGTTTTATTATTGCTGGCAGCTTCCATTTCCACCTCATTTGTTGAACATTTTTGGAGACGATGATGACGATGTTGCCTGCGTGATTTAAATCACCAAGCACTGTAAATGTCGAGTGAAGGGAAGCTTTACAAACTTAGTGTTTAGTTAAATTTGAAAAGTAGCAAAGGTATCACAGCCCCTAATGTAATTGTATCTACAGCCACGGTAGCTTGTGCTTTCGTCGTGGCCACGTTACAGTGCTTTCTCTTCTGATCTGACCTTTCTGTTCAAGGTTGCAGTCAGCTGGCATCCCTGCTCGGGGCAGCATCAAAACCCCTGTAGCCAGGGAGACCGTGCTGTACGACCACTCTATATGCACTTCACACTCGAGAGAGAGAGAGAGCTCTTCGAAAGTTTGGGTACCGCCGTCTGCAGCGATATGTCTCCGTGGGAGTTAGCTTTAGTGGGGCTGCCTTTGCGCAGTGCGGTGCCGTGTTGATGCGACTTTGCTTGAGGAGACAATGGCATGCACAGTCGTTTTCATTGGCCTGTGGACTTGATGCCACTGAACACGGGACGGGACGGCCGTAAAAAGTAAGCGGGTCCGCCAGCGATTCGCAAGCAGAAAACGGTGGCAGTTCAAGCAATCCGAGCCCATGCACATGTATACTTGGTGACTGCTAGGCGGAACACACGCTGAAAAATATACAGAGGTATTGGGAGAGGTGAATGCTTGGAATTGCACCAAGAGACAGAAGAGGGAACAACGTAGGTCAGAGAAAAAAGAAAGTGACAGCCATCGTGTTGACAATGGTAAATGGGCTTGGGCAGGACAAATCACGAGGCAGGATGACGACTGATGGATGTGACTAGGTGGATGGATTAGCAGCCAAAAGAGAGAACGCACCCAAGAAGATAAACCACCGCCAGAGATGCGGCGATGGGATCGGTTCATGTGCACAAGTGAGGTGGGCGGTAGCGGCACCAGACGTATGAGGGATGACAGCAGCATGGGGAGGCCTTCATCCAGCAGTGGATAGACAATGCCATGATGGTGGCAGGAACCACTGTGGGGTGTGACTTCAGTTGTTGCTGAGTACTTTCAAAATTAAAATCGTGTTGTGTGATTGACTATTACACAATGGCTATGATTATGGCCGAGGTTGAATACACAAATTACGTATTGTGATTGAGTAATAGTGTTACTTTCAGTTACAAATTATTATTGTTGGGAAAATGTATGATTTAACGTAACTGAAGATCTTTGGGGGAAAAAATGTTGAGACGGTAATATTGTGCGATTGAATGCCAATGCACGTGTCGTTTCATTTACATTGTGATCCAGTTCCGCAGTACAACAACTGGCTCTGGGAAGGGCGGCGGTGTGTTCTAAGTGTACTGTATCGAAGATGATGATCACTAGTGGCAGGAATGTCTGTCGCGTAATTCTAGACCAGCAACATCCTTAGCCCATCAGGTGATGTTACTGCGAAGCAAGCCGCACCGAGAAATCGTTATCACCTTTTAGTTTTGTGAGTAGTGGGGTGAATTTTAATTCGGTCACCAGTCACTGTAGCACATGGCCACATGTTGGTGTGTGTGTGCGTGTTATTCGTTTTGCACTGATCACTGAAAGAAACCGAACAATTATGTAAAACAGTGGCTTCTTTTTTATTCCACTAATCGGATGTACTGTGTTTAAAAATGTGTGTTAAATAAATCTTTAAAAAATCGGTCTTGTTTTATTATCTTGTTATCACTGTGGGGTCTAAAGTAAATGATCCGAAGAAGATACTTGTGCTTGCCATGATAAAGTGTCGCGTCCATCACCAGGTCATGGCCACCAATTGAGCTGAGTGCTTCTCAATTACATGCTGTCTTTTGAATGTGTAAAACTGCACAAACAAATGTTAATTTACAATTTTACTACCATTACATCATCTTGGGATGCTGCCATTATGTAATGCATGTGTTGTGAAATCGGGGATGTCACTGTATAGTGCCGGCCCGGAAGGGCCATGCCGTTCGATGTTCCGACATCGTGGACAGCACTGTGTGGGTGGCTGTGTGTAATTCCAGCCCTAGTGGGGCTTAGTGAGCACTGGGATAGTGCGGGCACCACACACAGCGTGTGGTGGGGGGCTCCCGCGAGGGGGAGTAGGTGAGCATCAGCCCAGGGGCAGGGCTGCCCCGAGGGCATGCCACTCTGGTTGACCCCGTAGACACATGATCCGGAGTGTCCACACAAGGGGCCCCAGGTGGGGGGGCTATTGGGTGATCACGTGTCCGGGGAGAGCTCTTGAGAAGGATCAAGAGGGAACGAGAATGCTCGAGAAGGCGGGTGGGGCCGAGGGCGGAGCGGCTCCGACCGTAGGGGGATATAAGGCGGGTCCTTGAGAGGGACTGGGGTCGCTGGATTCTACAAGCTGGAAGCTCAACATCTAGAAGCGGGAAGCTCTACGTCTCAAGCTGAAGCTGAAGCTCTTCGTCCTACGAGGCAACCACGTGGTCGGGGACCCGAGTGAGGGTCCGACCCTTTGTAGCAGTAACTCCTCTGTATAGGGTAGGTAGCTGGTTGGTCACCACCCTAAGCTGTATCTGGTAAAGGGCAGTTACCCCTTTGTGTTACGGTGTTACAATAAATGTGTTGCCTCTTAAAGAAACAATGTCTGCGACTCAGTTGGACTCACTCCACATGCTGAACTTCTTTCGCACCGTACGTAGCCAACCCTGCTAATCGGAGGTGCGGGGAGTTCACACTGGACTTGCAATCCTGAAATTGTTAGTTCAGTTGGATCTTATAGCGGAGGAGCTGAAACAATGGTGCAAGCTTCTTATACGTGTAGTGTTGTAAGGACGAGCAGACTTCTTTAGGAGGCACACTCTGTTTATTGTATTATTTCCTTATACAACGCTTAACACACACAGAGGGATATTTGGTCCCCTCACCCGATACCCTAGGGAGGTACAGCCTCCGGACCTGGCGGGACTCACACGTCTACCGCTAACCTCCTTGATATCTATGGAGGTACAACCTCCGGACTTGGCGGGACTCACACGTCTACCGCTATCCTAGTCCTCCGGCTAGGACCTAGGGGAGGCTATCTGACCCACCGCTGGCCCGGTGGGTCCTGACCGCTGGGTATGCCGAGCCTTAGCCTTTAGAAGGGCTGGGAGGCTGGTCCAGGGTCCTAGCTAGGCTTCAGCCCAGTCTTCTGTCTTCGTGCAGGGAGAGAACTCCCCGAGGTCCGTTGGGTCACCCGTCTTATACTCCTTCGTGGCCAGGTAGAACCAATCATACATTCCCACGTGGAACCGTCTGATTGGTTCGTACCAAACCCTGGCCACGATCCGTTTCACCTCGACTGACCCCAACCGTTGTACCCAGGGGTAATGCTGCACTGCCCTGGTGGCAATGCAGGTTACGCAACAGCACGTAGTTAACACCTCTACATCACCCCCTCCTTCGGAAGCTCCAGCCGTCCCGGCTGCAACAATGGGAAACTCCGAAATTACCAACGGTAGAAGAATTGTGAGTGTGCCTCACGAACAACAAGAACAAGAACAATAAAACCCCTATAAATACCCCCCTTAACAACATAACGTATGTACAAGGCACTAGACATGCCAAAAAAACATAACAACCGGCGAGATTTCGCGCGCGTGTGTGTTTCGCGGGACCATCGTAGGGGATGGCAGGCTTTGTCGGCGGCACAAGGGAAGGAGGAGGATGAGCCAGAGCATCCGATGGGCCTTTAGGCATCTCCACGGGGACACCTGATGCTCCACGGTCCATTGAGGCCGAACGTGGCCTGCATGGAGCCGTCACTCCCGCGTCATCTGCAGGAGGAATGACACGCCTGCGCTGTGGGTTAGGCACCAACGGGGCAACATCTGGCTCGTCGGACGCGTCGCACACTCGGCCCCCGTGTCATGTGTGTTGTGGAGGGACGCGTGGCGTGACGAAGGGTTTCAACTGAGAGGGGTGAACGCACCAGCGACTCCGTCCCCAGCGAATTTTAACACATTGGGGACGCAGGACTTCCACTACCTCAACCGGGCCTCGCCATGGTCTGAGGAGTTTGGCCGACGTGGACACCGGCACCTGGGGGCAGTGGAGCCATGCCCTGTCTCCCGGTGCCCACCGATGCGTGTACGTCCGAGGGTCACGCAGTCGCAAATTCGCCCGTTGGCGGGAAGCCGAATTTTCAATGGCGGCCTCCCATGCCTCGGCCAACTTACGGAGGTTGAATCGCAAGTGGTCAACGAGCTTTGACTTTTGCGGTGGCTGTTCGATTTCCAGCCGAACGTCGGCGGGAGGAAAGGCATCCCTGCCGTACATTAGAAAGAACGGGGAAAATCCCGTCGCCGCGTGAGGTGCCATACGGTATGCGGCGAGGACCCCCGGAACCTGCAAGTCCCAATCGAGCTGGGATTCATCAACCTGATGGCATAACATAGCGGTGAGAGTTCTATAAAGGCGCTCCACCATGCCATCGGTCTGGGGATGGTAGGGCGAAGTGCGCACTTTCTTAGTGCCCAACAGGCGGCACACATCATTCAGCAAGGCTCCCGAAAAATTTCTTCCCTGATCGGTCAGCAACCGTTCTGGTGCGCCCTTGTCCAGGACGTAGCCCTGAACAAAGGCGTCCACAACGGCCGCCGCCGACTGGTTGGGGAGGGCCCAGGCCATAGGCCACCGTGTAAAATACTCTACCCCAACCAGAAGGTACTTATTACCCCGTGGCGTAGTAGGAAAAGGGCCCAAAATATCGAGAGCCACCAACTCATTTATACGAGAGACCGAAATGGGTTGCAGGGGTGGACATGCCGGTTTAGCCGGCGGTTTACGTTGCGCACAATGGGTGCATCCCAGCAAAATGTCAGTGACGTCGCGCAGTATGCCCGGCCAGAAAAATTGCAACCCCAACAACCGAATGGTCTTATGAACACCCAGGTGCAATAAACGCTCATGCGCCGCCCATACGGCTTTGCATCGCAAGGCGGACGGCACGACGATTTTATGTTGACACGAGTCAGCATCCCAATGCATCAACAAGCCGTGCTTCATGACGAATGAATTTAATTTGCCCTGTCTTGGAGCCGCATTATTCGCATGGCGACGCAACCTCAGTAACGACATGTCATCGCTCTGGTGCTGACCCCATTCGGCCAAAATTAGCCCCAGCAAATCGTCACTGGCCATTGGATCTGCATGATCCAACATCAGCGCTGAGGCGGCGGGAAGTGCGGCTGACACCGTTGTGAGAGGCGCGACCTGCGCAGGCAGTGGCGGCTTACAACGGCCCGAGCCCAAAAAACACGCACATTTTTGAGCCGGCGGGAGGCGAGACAATGCATCGGCATTCGTGTGTTGTGCACCCCTACGGTAAGTGACATTGAAATCGTAGTCCTGAAGGACTTCGAGCCACCGAGAAAGCTGCCCGGACGGTTGGTCAACCCGCAGAGCGTACTGTAAAGCCGAATGATCAGATCGCACGGTAAAATGCTGACCATACAGGTACGGCCTGTATTGCTGAACAAAAAAAACAATGGCCAGCAGCTCACGTCTGGTCACACAGTATCTTTGTTCAGCAAGAGACAAGTCTGCTACCATAGGCAACAACCCTTTCAATGCCATCAACTTTTTGGGACAGAACACCCCAAATCCCCGTATTGCTAGCGTCGGTGTCCAACACGAATGGCACGGAAAAATCGGGGTACGCAAGGGACGGTGCCGTCACGAGCGCATTCCGCAAGGAGTCGAACGCGGCATGTTCTGCGACCCCCCCCCCAATGAAACGCCACCCCTTTTGACGTAAGGGCGTGGAGCGACTTGGCAATCGTCGCGAAGCCAGCAACAAACCGGCGGTAGTACGACGCAAAACCAATAAAACTACGAACATCGCCCGCAGATGTAGGGGTCGGCCAATGTTGAACACATTTGGTTTTTTCAGGGTCGGTAGAGATGCCCGAGCGGCTAACTATGTGGCCCAGATAGCGCACAGACTCACGCAGAAGGTGACACTTCTGCGGCTTGAATTTCAAGTTAGCGGCCCGCATTTTCAAGAAGACAGCACGCAACCGTTTGATGTGTTCGCCGAACATGCGGCTAAAGACGATGACGTCGTCAAGATAAATGAGACATGAGTCCCACTGGAGCCCAGCGAGGACCAGCTCCATGAGCCTCTGGAACGTCGGTGGGGCCAAGTGGAGACCCATGGGCAATCTATTAAACTCGAAAAGGCCCTGTGGTGTCCGAAAAGCAGTCTTAGGTTTTGACACTTCGTCGAGGGGGAGTTGCCAAAACCCCGACAGAAGGTCCAAGGTGGAGAAATAGTGCGCCCCTGCCAGGGCATCCAATGACTCATCCATACGAGGGAGAGGGTAGGCGTCCGCTACCGAGATTTTATTTAGGCGCCGAAAATCAACACAAAAACGGAGACTGCCATCGTGCTTTTTGACCAGCACTATTGGAGCACCCAAGGGAGTAGGGGAGGGAGAAATTAGATCGGCCTCCAGCATGTCATCCACAGCCGATTTAACATGCTGTTTCTTCGCCGGGCTAAGCCGAAACGGGTTTTGTCGAATCGGGGCAGCATCACCAGTATCAATGTGGTGACGCAGCAGCTTAGTGCAGCCAATATCAAATTTAGATTTACTGAAGACATCGGAAAATTCTCGCAGAAGAGCGCGCAATTTAATTCGCTGCGAATGAGACAAATCACCCGTGTC